TGGGGGCCATTTCAGGAAGGGGGAGGTCACCAGGAGGCCCCGCAGCACAAGGTCCGGGCCAGCGCACGGCTGGAGGCGACCCTGCCCACAGGCCGGGTGACCACGCTCCGGATGGAGCGGGGACCGCTGGTGGCGGCCCAATCGCCTTGCAGCACTAGGCCCAAGGCGATGGCCGGTGGCGCACGAACCGACCTGGGAGGCGATCGGCCTCCAGCTCCCCAAGAGGTGAATTTCACCTCTTCAACCACCCTCCTCTGTAGCCAGGCGGATCCTTTCCAATAATCCTATTTTTGGCTAGAAGAATAACAAATACACTTGAGGGGAATTATTTAGACCTAACAGAAGGGAGTACATTCAAAGACAAGCCGGGCATGGTGGCGCACGCCTGTAATCCCATCACTTGAGAATCTGAGGCGGGAGGATTGCCTCGAGTTCAAGGCCAGTCTGAATCACATACCTAGACCCCGTCTCCAAAAAAAAAAAATGCTCAAGGCCGGGGATTTAGTTCAGTGGTTCCGCCACCTGCCTCGCAAGCGCAAGCGTCCCAATTCGATCCTCGGTACCAAGAAACAAGAAAGAAAATTTTTAAAAAAGCAAAGACAGAAGTCCACCTTCTTTCCTCCACTTTAGTCCTGCTCCTTAATTAAGGTTAATCCATTTTTATCTCTTCTTCACCTATTCCATTTTTTCTGCATCTATGTCTTTTACATTTATTTATTTACTTATTCGTTTATTTATTTATAGGTAAGGTCTTGAACTCCTGGGCTGAAGCAATCCTCCTGCCTCAGCCTCCCCAGTCACTGGGAGTACAGGCTCAGGCATGGTACTTGTCTGGTATAACACATTTTTAAAAATACTGTGACTAAGATAGGCACAGTGGTGCATGCCTATACTCCCAGCATTTTCGAGGCTGAGACAGGGGGATTGTGAGTTCAAGGCCAGCCTGAGTTAATAGGGTTCAAGGCCAGCCTGGAGTATATATCAGAGCTCTATTCAGAAACACAAAATAAAGCAAAACAAAAACTCTGTGACTTGATTTTGCATTACTTCCCACCCTGAGACACATATGGAATTTATCACATATTCTGTCTCCTTCCCCAGCTCAGTTTTTACAAATAATTGTTATTTTATTATTTGCCATTTATTGATAACCTTTGTAATTCTGTCTACAGTCTCTTTCCTGACACCTGCTCCTATAAGAACACTGACCGCCCTCACCTCCCTTCTACTCTATTGAGAGAGGAGAGCACTCCTCCATCTGGGTTTAGGCAACTGTTGATAGAGAAGTGCTATACAGCAAGACAGTCCCCGGGCTGGGGATTTAGCTCACTGATTCCGCTGCCTGCCTCACAAGTGCAAGGACCCATGTTGATCCCCCGAACCAAAAAAAAAAAAAAAAAGACAGGCCCTGGCCTTGCCTCCATTTTATTCCCCCTACAGAATGTTTTGTTTTGGAAATGTAAGTTTGTGTCGCTGAGCTCCTGCCCAGTGTTATCAAAATGGTTGGTGTCTGTTTGAACCGTGTGACCTTTCAGGAATGTTCTGTTAAGCTCTGTCCCCTCACAAGAAGGTTCTGTACCTCTGCCCCCTGCTCCAGTGAGCATGCTGGCCTACCGTGTAGTTCCCTATATCTAAGGAGGTTTTCATTTCTGGTAGAGTGCTCAGACTTCTGTGACCTGCCAGGGCTCACTGGTGTAATAAAGGTTTTTTTCCCTCCACCTCTTCAACTCGCCCTTAGATTCTTGAGTCTTCAAATTGCAAGAGCTGAGTACCAGAGCCACGGCACTGAGCTGTAAAGCTCAGCTGTGCCTCAGAGCTGTGGCACTTGGCTGTGACACTGAACTGTAACACTCGGCTACAGCACTGAGCTGCTCTGTTCTGCTGCAACACTATGGGTTGTGTTGTTAGGGTTAACTGCATAACTATGCTCTTTGTAGAAAGTAACTGAGTAGCTGTGCCAACTTCTGTAATCTGTCACCCAAGGAGCTTAAAAGGTTCAAAAAGCCTTGCCAGAAAGCTCTCCCCCTCCTCAGTGCTCTGCCTCGCGTACATCCTGCTTGCTCTGTTCCCAGAGAGACTCCAGTAGAAGTAAGCTCCACAGATGTAAAAAGAGGTATACAAGGAAGCACAAACTTCTATTCAGGAGTCACTCGCAGAGCCACTGGCAGCATTAAAAGCTGCTTTTGCGCCTATCTTCCTGTTAAGAGTGGTCTGTCCGAGGTCCCCAAGGTTTTCTACTTCACTATTATTCTACCTCACTTCCTCAGAAGTGGTTTGTGTGAGGCAGTGCTGGGCACATGGAGACAGAGCCTAAGCCTCAGACCTTTTGTTTTGGTTTGGTTTGGTTTTGGTTTTGGTTTTTTGAGACAGGGTCTCACTATATAGTTGTGATTGACCCAGAACTCACTATGTAGCCCAGGCTGGTCTCGAACTCACAGCAATCCACCTGCCTCAGCCTCCCGAGTGCTGGGATTACAGGCGTGCACCACCACGCCCAGCTCCTCAGACATTTTGGACACGGGCTGTCCCTCTGAGCTACATCCCCAACTCTGCTAGAATCTTATTTTTGCATTATCAAGGTACCTTTCTGGGGTTACAATAAGTCTTCAGTGCTTTATCCATAGGTCGAGTCTGCAGGTAAAAATGGAGTTTGTACAACAGTAAGTTGTGTAGATACCAGTCACTGCGGATCTATAATGAAATGATTTTATTTTATTAAGCCAATGCTGTAACATTAAACAGCAACTCCAAACACTGCTTTACATCAGGCCACATTTCTGTTTTCTTATCTTTCAGGCTTGATTTTCCCCATAGGGAGCTTTTAGCAAACTGCCACAGTTTGACTCCAGATGCCTGGCTTCCCCAGGACCAGTCACTCAGCATTTTGCTCCCATGATGCTTGTTAAATAGTCTGCCAGGGGCTGGGGATTTAGCTCAGTGGTTCCCGTGCCTGCCTCACAAGCATAAGAACCTGAGTTCTATTCCCAGTACCACCATAAATGAATAAATAAATATAAATAAATAGTCTGCCAGTCATGGACGCTCGGCCGTTTCCGGGGCTGTTTCAGGACTGTTCTCCAATGGCGTCTTCACAGGGCTCCTCCTCTTCACTGGATTTCGTTTTAGTTTTGCAGAAAGGGTGTTAGGTGGGTCAGTGTGTGGAATCCTTATATTTTTGAAATATCTTTTCCCACCTTCATGCTAGACTAGACGACGCCCCAAATGACTGGTGCAGAATCATATTCCTTGGTAGTCTGAAGGTCTGGTTCTGTTACCGGTCACAGCAGTGGGGCTCTGTGTCACTGTTTCCCTGACAGTGCACCGCGATGGGACTAAGTAAGTTCCATTCTTTCCCTTACTTTACACTTGATCTTAGCCAAAAGGTGAAGACGCGATCTTTCCCTCGCTTTATACTCTTCTCTCTTCTCTCTGCCGTTTCCTCTCTTTAGTCCTGGGAATTGTTCTTGCCTGTGTCATCACGTAATAACCTCACCCAAGAAGTCCGGCCTTTGCCCTTGGCTCCCGGAAGGTAGCCTCTGAGTCCTAGGAATGTCCAGCCTGATTGGCCATACCAAAAAGTTTTGCTAACCATGAAATTTAGGCTGGGGAAGTGGGGCTATGTAGGACAGCTCAGCCCCTGGAGAAGCCCACACGGATGGCCACCTTCGTCTTTACTCATCTTCATCAAAAGCCCTGGACACCAAGGCCGCGGTGAGCTTCTCCAGTCAGCAAACCTCTGGGTGTTTTTTTGTCACTTACGGTTGTTGGCAGAAGTTATGCTGTCTGCGATGCCCCCTAGTGGAAGGTGACTGCAAAGCAGCGTGTGGAACTCGGGTGCGGCTTCTTCCCTCGGCTGTTTTGTGTCCCGATCCTTCACTGTCGCACACCTCAGCTGCCGGCCTGGACTGCAGTGGGCTCTGCCGGTCCTTCTAGCGAGTGAGGGAAAGTGAGCGCGGCCTGGGTGACTCCGGAACTTTGCACGCCTCCCTGTCCTCCTCGCCACCCTGCTGCAGTACTTCCAGGCGGGAAAGGGCCCTCGGCTTGTGCGGGCTCTGCTGTGTTCCCGCCATTTCCTCCACAGTCGGGAGCTGCCACGGACTCCCTTTCGGAACCCCGCCACCATCCATTTTCGTAGTCCCCTTTACAAAAGATCCTACTGTAAAATATCCAGCCATCTTAAAGTGTCCATTCGGCTTTTTCATTGTTTGCTTTTCATTTTAGGGGACAGGGTCTTGCTACATAGCCCAGGCTGGCCTTATGGGTTGTGTTGTTAGGCAACTATGGGTTAATTGCATAACTTTGCTCTTTGTAGAATGTAACTGAGTAGCTGTGACAACTTCTGTAATCTATTACTATCCTCCCTGGTGCTGGGATTACGGGCTACAGCATTGTGCCCAACATCACAGCCACATCTTGAGAAGTGGGTTATTTACAAGCTCTGAGGGTGAGGATCCATTACACACAACACTATGACCGCACTAAATACTGCTGGATTAGCCCCGTACAAGGGTTCATTTTGACTGATATCAGTGTCACATCAACAGAAAAGTGAAGACAGGAGTTCAATCAATACTGCAAAAGGAGGCCCGCGGATTTAGCTCAGTGGTGCCGCTGCCTGCCTTGCAAGTACAAGATCTCGAGTTCGATCCCCGGTAGCCCCCGCAAAAAAAAAAGATTGCAAAAGGAGCTGGACATGGTAGTACACACACTCAAGAGGCTGAGGCAGGAGGATCACTGGGAATTTGAGGTCAACCTGAACTGCATAGCGAGACCTTGTCACTTAAAAAATAATGATCGCAAAAGGAGCTGGCTGGCTGTGTTGGGCATGCCTGTATTCAAAGTACTCTGGGAGGCCGAGGCAGAAGGACCACAAGTTTGAGCCCAGCCTAGTAAATTTAGTGAGACCC